ATTAATTCTGATAAACAATTTTTGAGAAGTGTGTTAGTTTCCTGTGGGTGCTGCAACAAATTACCACAAACTTGATGCTTTAAAACAACAGAAATTTATTCTCTTACAGTGCTGTAGAACAGCAGTCTGTAGTGAATCTTATGGGGCTAAAAAGTGAAAATTTCAGCAGAGTCATGTGCCCTCCATTCCTTGCCTCTTCCAGTTTCCGATGACTCCTGGCATTTCTTGGCCGCAGTGTCTGCCTTCATCTACACAGGGCCTTCTCCTCAATGTATCGGTCTAATCTCCCTCTCTGCCTTCTTCTATAATGGCACATGTGATGGTATTTAGGGTCCATCTGGATGATCCAAGATAACCTCACTGCAAGAGTCTTAATTACATCTGCAAAAATGTTATCTTATCAACCAACTTTCACAGATTTCAAGAATTAGAACCTGATATCTGTAGGGGCTGCCATTCAGCTCACTAAAGGAAGATAAGGAACACATTTTAATTTCTTTTTTTTTCATGGGAAAGGTGAAACATCTTTATAACTGTCTTTCTGCAAGTTTTACTTCTCCCCTTAGGAGGCAGTCTTTATTTTTTTTCTTGTGTTTGAACAAATTTAATGCCATATATTTTGTCTTTTACAGACATGGTGAAATAAGGCAGTGCCCTATATAATATACTTGCTACTTAGTTGTCAATCAATAGCCATGCCAACAAAAGTGATCTCAGAAAAATGTTTATTAAAATGCATATTTACCCTATGTATTCAAAGATTTTTATCTGCACTAGCATTATGAGCTGATATTTGTGAAAGATAATGATTTGTTTTCCTTATCTCTTCTAGAATCACTGTTAAATCTGCTCATTGCTTGAGGCTATGGTCACGTAACACTCATATTCTTATTATAACTGGCTACTACATCATGGTTTAAACTCCAATTCAATTTACACAGGTTTTCCTTTATACATTTTTCTCATATATTAGGTAGATAGAATGCCCACACAGGCTTACGTCAGTCAAAGGGCAGATATTTTGTTGTGCAAGCTCCCTCCAAACAGCTTGGCAAACAGTTCTGCTTTGGCAGTAAGAACTCTGATTCCTCTTGGACATGAACTTGCCACCATAATGTTTTGAAGGAGCGGTGATATATTTAATATTTCTTATAATTAGTAAAATTTGTTATGTATGCTGGTAATTAGTACCAGATACTACTGCCCCCTGAATTCTCTCTAAAGAATAATTTCATAGGTCCTTCTAAGGAGACAGGATGCTTGTGTTTTTAAAAGGTGAAGCAAAGCTAAGAAGGCAGGCTTTAAAGTTGTGAAATGAATCTCCTCATAAGGAATAAATTAACAGTTTGTCTTCCCATCTTTATATGGAACCATATTAAATAAAATACTAGTTTTGCATGTATTTATTGAGTATAGTATGTTCATTATTAGTCATATTATTCTAGTTGCTCAAGTGTACATTTTATTAGATGCTTTTTAATGTTATAAAAACTCCCTTAATTGTATAACACAATATAAAAATTTTAAATTACAGTTTAAATTTTATCCATTATATTGTATAAAAGTTAATTTTCACTTTTTAAAGGAAAATATAGTGATACTTACTTGGCATGGAAGGTACCATGATCACGAAGGTGATTTTCCCAGGGCAAGGCTTAACCATTGCAGTCCAGTGTGCTGACCCCTGCGATCTCCCCAAATGTGATACACTCAACTGTATAATTTGTGGTAGTCAGGATGGTATTTGTGCTTTCTTCTATTTTTTTTTAAAAGGAAAGTCTGAGATGCTGTTAGTGAGAGATAGTTGAAGACATTAAGATACAAAGAGTTTTATGGTATTTTCCATGTTTCTTTTCATGGTTGTATTTTTCTTTTGGCTCTGTTATTCTGTTTACCCAGTTCTTAGAAAGGATATTTATACAGATTCAAAATCTGAAAAAACCTAGAACAAGATTTCCTTAATTAGAGGTTTCATAATAGCTTGAGTTTTAATTTTGACTTTATTCTACTTTATTTTATTTGACTCAATTAAATTAGAATAGTAAGTACAATTTAACTGATATTTCCTAAATAAGTATATTAGTCATATAGAAAATATATTATTAATATAGCTTTAATTAAATTCCCTAAGGGAACTCATAGTACTTTTTTTTTGTAATTTAACTATTCTATTTTTGGAGGGGAAATAACAGAAAGCATTGCACAATTATGTATAAGTTATTAAAACAACACCTTGATATTATTTAAATTATTTTATTAAAGTCACTCATTATTAGTTATTAGATATTTTAGCTTCTTTCCCCATTACTTCTTTGATTGAATACTTTTGTGTTTTCTCTTGACCATTTTCAGTCTTTTCTGCTTGCTGTTTTTTTTCTCTACTCAGCTTATAAATGTTGGTTTTCCTAATGGCCCATTGTTGAACTCCTTTTCTAACTCAATTACTCTAATGTTAGGTGATGTCTTTAGTTTTTATGATTTTGTAGTACTAACCATATTCCCACAACTTTGAGTTTTACATACCCATCTTAGACCTCACTTCCAATATCCAGAATCATCTAACTGATCATTTCATAACACTCCATTGGATCCCTTTCAGATAATCTCAGTTTATACAAATATGAAATTGAACCCTTGATTCTTACCTCTGCTTCAAGAAATGAAACAAATCCCCCAATAGCAATAACAACAACAACAATCTTGTTCCACCTTCTACTCTTATATGAAATAATATCGTTTAGGTGCCTAGGCCAGAATGTTGGGGGCCATCCTTGATTCTTACCTCTTGTTTCTCCAACATAGACAACCACTTGCTTAATTCTTGTAAGTACCAATATCAAAATATAAACAAATTCTGTCTACTTTGCTTATCCCAATTCTTGCTACCATCATCACCTCTCAAGTACCACTGTATTATTTTTGGATACTTAATACAAGATATTATCTAGAATAATAAACTGAGCATAATTTTGTTTTTAGGATTTCAGATTAATAGTAAGCAGTAATCTTTATTTTTTAATTTATTTTAGATAGGGGGAAAGGGAGGGAGAAAGAGAGGCAGAAAAGCATCAATGTGTGGTTACCTCTTACATGCCTCCTACTTGGGACCTGGCCTACATCCCAGGCATGTGCCCTGACTGGGAATCGAACCAGTGACCCTGTGGTTCACAAGCCAGTGGCTCAATCTACTGAGCCACACCAACCAAGGCAGTAGTAAGCAGTAATTTTTAATTCCCAGGATTCTGAAGTTACAAGAATAAGAAGTACAACCCTACATGTTAAAGAAACATTATAAACTAAAAAAAAAATGACCATTTTTTTTCTTAATACAACTGCATGATGCTTGGGTGTCTAGAGGAGGCAAGCAGGATATATAGAAACTTCTATCTGAAATAGTTCAGATAGAAGTTTCAGATATTGAGAAAGATAATAGTTCAGATATTGAGAAAGTTCAGATTTTGGTTTCTCATAATTATGACTATCCTTTTATATAGTTATTTAGACTCACATAGTAGAAGGAAGAAGAATCCAAATTAATTTTCTTATTATGTAATCATAACTAATATTTTCTTTTGTCAATTATAAAATTTTACATTAGGTGAATATGTGTGTGTAATATATATATAAAATATATTAACACATGCATATTAATTTTCTGAGAAAGGAATTTACTATATTGTTAAGTAAATAGGACTACATCCTTCAGAGTGAAGCAGTTGAGCATTGGTAGGAGGCTATTCTTATGAAGGCAGACCAGATACTAAATGAGGTATAGTGGGCTAAACTACAATACACCATAGATGTTCTTCATGACAGAGGTAAAGAATAATGTTATGCTTTCAACCAAATATGTATAATGAACTAGTATAATCAAAGTATATTTCTATAATAAGGAGGTATTTTGAGAATTGTATAGGCAGTGTTTCTCAACAGGGGTAAGGAAGTTTCCACCCCAGGGGACATTTTTTGGCTGCTGGAACTAGAGGGTGTTACTGGTATCCAGTAGGAAGATGCCAGGAATGCTGCTTAGTATTGTACAATGCACAGGACAGCCCTGCTCCACGAATTGTGATACAGCCCAAAAGGTCAACAGAGCTTTAGTGAGAAACCCTTTTAGGCTATTTTTTTGACCTGCCACATGATATCCCAAATACTTTCCAAAATTTCATTTAACAAATAAACCTTTAATAGAGGTGTAATGGTTATAGTAATTTCATGATTTTATTTTAGTGAAAAACTTCAGTGAATGGAAGTATATTTGTGTGTACTTGGAATAATTTATGAGAGGAAAGAATCAAAGATGAATGGCAAGTTTCTGGCTTGAGCAACTCACCAGGAGGATGTTGGTGACATTATTTGAGATGAGAGAAACAGATGTGAGGAATAAAGCCTTCAGTTCAGATTTTATACTTGTAGAATTTGAAGTAGCTGAGATATATCAAGAGAAAGTCCTGAAGATCAGAACTTAGGTGTTCAGACACATCTTTAAATTGAAATTTGTCAGTATATGAATATAAATTTCACTTAGCCCTGGGATTGGATGAAATCACCCACCATAGTGTCTATCTTATAGCACAGTCCTTAGGAGCACTAACATTTACAATATGGGTAGAGGAGAATCTATTAAGAGACTAGGAAGTAGTCAGGAATATAATAGGAAGTGATCCAGAAGTGTAATCTTCAAGCCAAGGAAAAAGAAATGTTTTCAGGTAGATGAGTGGTTATTGATGCAGAGGCTGCTACTGACTTTAGTGGGTATGAGTGGATAGAAACCAAATGAAAGTGGGTTGAGAAGTCCATGGTAAGTAAGAAATTTAGTTGTGTTGTAAATTTATGTAAATTTGACTGTGAAGGACTTCAAGACCATGGTGCGTAACATTTTATGATATATTAAATAGTTGCTTGGATTATAAGTGATTCAGCAAGTATTAACATAGTTCTGCTTATTACCACTGATAAAGGTGCATGTTTGACACTCAAATATTACCTTTCTTTTTCAGATCTTTCAAGAAATCGTTTTGCAGAAATTCCTTCTGATGTCTGGTTATTTGCACCCCTTGAAACATTAAATTTATATCATAATTGCATAAAAACCATTCCTGAACCCATTAAAAATCTGCAGATGCTAACATACCTTAACATCAGGTAAGGAAGTAATGTGGGGGGTAAATTTTGTTTTTTATTATAGTTCTAATCCTTTTAGTAGCAAAAGAATGTATTTGGTTTGGGTATGTAGCCTATAGTTATCTCAGTAGTATGTTATTTGTATTTTTTATATGTCCACACTACTTTATAGGCCTTTATCTTGTTCTTGAGAGCAGTGCTTCTCGAAATAATGTGCACAGAAATCACCTGGGGACTCTAATTCCCTAGGTCTGCAGTGGGGCCTACATTTCTGACAAGGCCCTTGGTAATGCCCATGCCTGCTGGTCCTCCAATCACTTTGAATAGCAGTGCTTTTCATCAGAAATATTTTACTGAAATCATAGCACCACAATACCAATTTATTTATATGCATATTCAGTTAAAGTGAGACATTATAAAGAAAGAGTCTTTGTGATATTTTTCATACTGTTGTGACTTTCTGTTGCTACTTCAAGCATGGATGGATTGGGATGGGAATGTCAGAACATTAGGAGGTCAATGACAGTTGATGTTAATACCAAATAAATAAGTGCTTACTGTGTACCAGGTAGTGTTACAAATACTTTACACATAATACTTCATCTTCTCAACAACATTTTGAGATATGTACTTTTATTATCCCTGAATTACAGATGAGGAAACTGGAGCACAGAGAAGTTAATTGTTTGCTCAGTGTTTTATATACCTCTGTCTGTCTATATCTATAGCTATCTTGGTAGGGCCAAGGTCATAATCAAAATAGTATGGCTGTAGAAATCTCATTCTTAAACTATATAACAGAGTGAACATTTGATAAGAATAAGAAAAAAATTCCTTGTCAAATGAGTGACATTGAATGGAAACTTTTATATTGTGACAATTTTAGAATAATTTTCTTTTTTTTTCTTTCTCCTTTTTTTGATTTGTAAGGGATAATTTCTTTCCCCTTCCTAATGAAGTTACTTGTTTAAATTCTCATATAGGGAAGTAGTAAATATAGTTAATATACATAAATAATAATGCTCCTTTCTCACTGTGATATATTAATTATTACGTGTGTGTCCCCACAGTTGTGTCACCTGGCGGTACATGCTGTTTAAACTGAAACCACTTTACACCTTAAAATATGTGAGAAGAATTTCCTTCCATAGATATTAGTCATTTGGGTTGCTCCTTCCTTTAATTGGTTATAATCTCCTTGGCCTAGCTTGGGAGAGGTTTGAGGAAAGCGAGGTATTTTTAAGTTTGTTTTTGTTTCATTTTGTTCTTTAATGGAAAAATTGATTTGTCCAAAACTGAATTACATTTCTATGTTAACGTATAGTATATCTTAGAATATGGGCATACTGCGGAGATATTGTGAGTTCAGTCCTAGACCACCACAATAAAGTAGGTATCACAATAAACTGAGTCATAATTTTTTTTTCCGGTGAAGGGTCTTGCCTTCATTTGTAGAAAACACAATACCTGTGAAGTGCAATAAAGCAAAGCCCAATCAGATGAGGTGTGCGTGTAGTTTTATTAAAACTTTCTCTGATTCCTTTTTGCTTTGATCTTTGAAAGTTAACTTCTGATTTTTGTTCACTGTCATAAAAATTTTGAACAAACTCTTGAAACAACATTTGTTCTGATGACTGACTTCCGTTGACTATCTCTAAAACATGGCAAAAAAGTAAAGATTAATAACTTACTAGCTATGTATAAAGAAATTAAATTTTGGAGAAAGCTTACTGTGCTAATTTAATGAACCTGATTCTTAAGGGAAGCAAATAAGTCAATTTTTAAACATTTTTGGTTTGAAGGAGATTAGAATGTTTTTGTTTGTGCCATTATTTTTTCCATTTATTTTATGTTTAATTTGGTGAAAATATCTTGAGAAACTTGTAAGATGATTTTTTCGTTCTTTTTCTCTTCCTGTATACTATCCCCTTTTAAAGTAGAATCCTGCAGGAAGATTCTCATTTGCTTCATCCTGCTTGATCCTAAAAGTGTCAAGAGTTGTGACAGGCCCCTAGCGTATTTGACTTTCCAGCAGCATGGCCAGGATTCCTGTTCTAGGGACATTGTCTTTTTTTGTTTTAAGTTTGTGCCAGGTCTAAAGCCAGTCTAGTGTTTCTGGATGTCTCTGCCTGCATAAAATGGGGTGAAAGTTTTTGAAACCCTGTCTTGGGGTAACACTGAGCTTTTGTTGCACATGTTACCTAAAATGCTAAGTAGGTACATCTATAAATGTAACTTTGAAAAACAGAAAAAAATAACTGCTCATTGCTTATGAATGCTTAGTATAGTATGTAAATGTAATGGTATACTTTATATAGTTTGAGATAGGATTTTCTTAGTCCATTTGGGCTGCTATAACAGAATACCATAGACTGGGTGGCTTATAAAACAACAGAAAATTTTTACAGTTCTGGAGGCCGAGAAGTCCAAAATCAAGGCACTGACAAATTTAGCGCCTAGTTCCTATATGGACATGTTCTAGCTGTGTCCTCACATGGTAGAAGAGGTGAGGGATCTCTCTGAGGTCTCTTTTACAAGGGCACTAATCCTATTCATGAGGGCCCTCATGACCCAATCATCCCCAAATGTCCCACCTAATATCATCACCTTGGGGATTAGGTTTCAACATTGTAATTGTTGGGGGTGGCACAAACATTCAGTCTATAGTGGGGATCATTTGGGTGTCAGTCTGCATTGGTATATAAATTTGATCACAGTAGTTTGAGGGTAAGGGACCCAGAGCCAGATTGTCTGGATTTAAATGCTGGTTCTCCCACTTACTAGTTGTGTGCCTTAAGGAGTTTACTTAATGTCTTTATGACTGTTTCTTCATCTATAAAATGGGCATCATGATAGTAGCTATCTTAAAGTAGGTTGTTGTGAGGATTAGTCGAGTTAATTCATGTGAGGTGCTCTGAACATGGCCTAGCACACAGTAAGCACTCAATAAGTGTTAGTTGTTGTTATATTTAAATGTAGCCATGGAGGTGAGAATGTTGTAATTGAGATAAAGGTGCTAGTAGGCTGTTCTACCATAAACCCATAAAAGGAGATGAGTTAGGGTTTACATGTTTTTGAACATATAATCCTGTTCATTCTTTCATAAATTTAAACTACATGCAAATTCATCCTTGGAATCTTTCTCTAGTTAGAGGCATGGAGCTATTGAATATAGTGAAATTATAGCAAAGAGCAAGGTTCTGACATTCTCTAGCTCAGAAGAATGATTCTGGGTTTTGAGAACTGGTGGTGTGTAGGATAATATCATAGGTAACAGCACAGGTTTTGCAGTCGGCTGTGCCTAGGCAACTCAATCAGGTTTTACCTTTGTTTCTTTATTTGTATAATGCCACTAATAATATTACATATCTTGTGGGATTAATGTGAGGATTAAATGTAATAGTGTATATAAAGTTTTCGGCCTGATACAAAGTAAGCATTCATTAAATGATAGTTGTTATTTTACCAAAGCTTCTTATTTACTTTTGAGGTGATTTGCTCTTTTTCAACATAACATGTTAGGTTTTAGACATATTTCTTATAATGAGACTTTCTTATTCTTTTCAGTCGAAATCTTTTATCAGCATTGCCAAAATACTTATTTGAGCTACCTCTTAAAGTTTTGGTTATCAGTAATAATAAACTGGTATCCATCCCAGAAGAAATTGGGAAGTTAAAAGACTTAATGGAATTGGTGAGTAAAACAGTTGCATTGGTTGTATGTAATGTGCACAATCCATACCTTTATTTTGGAATATTACTCATTTCTTTATATAATTTCACTGTAATTTTTAAAGAAGAGAATAACTTGGTATATCCTTGGCCTAAATTCACTTTAAGAAAATTTCAAAATACCATTGCTTGTCTGATTTTAGCTCACAGCCAGTAAAAACCTAATTGTTCCTCAGTCCTACTCAGAGGCTTTTTTACAAGTCTTAAGAAATGCTTTTCAAATGAATAAGCATTTGTCTATCCATTTTGTGGAAAGTAAAGTTCTTATCAGTAAAAAATACAAGTTTTTTTAAAGGTTTTACAAGTGCTACTGTGAGAGCCTCATAGAAAATGGATATGAACAAAACAGTACAATGAACAAAATAATCCTTCCTGTCCTATATACTCATGTGATTTTTATAACATTTTTGGGACTAAGATAAATGGAAAGAGGCCATTATATAAAGTTGATTGTAGAAATATAGGAATAATTTAAAATAATTACTTTGCACATATTTTAGATATTAAAGGATATTGAACTCTGAGAGAAACATAGATCTTCTGGCATTGAGCTATTTTCACATGTTGCTGTTACTTCCACTTCACGTAGTATACCATGCTGTTCATTTTTATTTTGTTTTATCTTAAGTAATGCTTTCCTAATAGATAGATGTTTAAAAGTATTCTTAAGTATGACTTTATTATGTGTGGGAAGCCAAAAGTTTTCTTGAGAAACTTATTTATAATTTTATAATGAAAAAGTAACATGTTAATAGAATGTAATGAACAAAAATTTCAGGAATGTCTTCCTTTTATTCATTAAGGAATACCTGCATGTGCAAATATCACACAAGGAAACTTCCTTAAACTTAGTGTTATGTTTTAGAACCACAAAATTTTAAGTTTCAATGGAATCTTATAAGTAATTGGATTTGAGTGCTCCCTAATGCAGAAATCTCTGACACACCTAGCTGGATATTTTCAATGGTAGATAAATGTGTGTGTGTGTGTGTGTGTGTGTGTGTGTGTGTGTGTGTCTGAGGCAGCCCTAATTCTCTTTTGCAACTGTTATTTGTTATCCATTTTATTTTTAACTAAAATACATACCTCTGTCACTTTTATCTACTGGTTTTGGGACTACCATGTAAACAATAGATAATGACAACTTCACTTCCCTTAGGATACTTGTAATCTGGTGTGTGTCTACTCTTCATTTTTCCAAACTGTAAGACCTGTTTTCTGTAACCTGAAATCTTCATCACTTTTATTCCTTTCTATATTTCTGTTCTTTATTACTTTTTATTTTTAACTATTTCTATTCCAAAAATGTTCTTTTTTTTATTAGGTCTCTTTTAATGTTATACTCACCAGTGAATGGAAGACTTCAGATGTTGATCTAACAAAATTATAATAAAAGAGAGCCATACTTTTTTCACCTGGACACTTAATATTTTTTAAAAGATTTTATTAAATTTTAGAGAGAAAGGGGATGGGAGGGAGAAGGAGAGAGAGAGAAACATCATTTGGTTGCCTCTTGTATGTGTCTTAGCTAGGGACCGAAACTGCAACATAAGACATGTGCCCAAACCAGAAATCGAACCAGTGACCCTTCTCTTTGTAGAATGACGCTCAGCCAACTGAGCCACGCTAGTCAGGGCTGGGCACTTAATATTTTTAAAGATTTTTATACTGTCCGCACATCCCAGCCAGCCTAGTGATCCTGCCACACCTCGGGCCAAGACCTCACCAAGATGCCATCTCAAATGGAACACGCCATGGAAACCATGATGTTCACGTTTCACAAATTCACTGGGGATAAATGCTACGTAACAAAGGAGGACCTGAGAGTACTCATGGAAAAGAAGTTTCCTGCATTTTTGGAAAATCAAAAAGACACTCTGGCCGAAGACAAAATAATAAAGGACCTGGACCAGTGCCGAGATGGCCAAGTGGGATTCCAGAGCTTCTTTTTGCTAATTGCTGGGCTCACTGTCACATGCAATGACTTGTAGTACACCTGAAGCAGAAGAGAAAGAAGTAAGCAGTTGAGCAGCTACTTCCTCCCTGGTCAAGAGTCCTTCCAGTGTGTTTTTTAAGGAATCTCTGCCCCATAGCCTCCCCCTGTATGAGGATTTCATGAGCAGATTGAGACCCTTAGAAAATGTACAGATAAAATCTGACCCCCATTTGACAAAAGAAATCCAATTGAAGCCAGATAAGGTTTTTATTTTTACATTGCTTGTGTTCTCTTGCCCTCAATAGATAAATTTATTGGTTAGTTTATAAAAAAACATTTTATACATGTTACACTTTTAGATGCTATGGCTCTGTAATTTCTTCTTTTCATTCAGTTTTTAAACCCATGTTCTAAATTAATTTACATGAGGTAGTTTTTGGATAAGTGAAGTTTTAAAAATATTTAGTATTTTAGATGTATTCCAGTATTTTTATTTAAATAGAATGTTTGTTACCACAACCCCAATGTTTTCCTTTGGGTCCGCCTGCCTGTATGCACTGGCCCAAAGAAATGCACGAGCAGGAGTTTGCATGACAGAAAGAGAAAATAGTTTAATATTGAATTGGCCAATATGGAAATGAGGAGCTTTTTCTGTAAATAAAACAACTCCCTGGTGGAATGTAGGTTACAGATTATATGGGACAAAAATATAAGACACTGTGGGGTAGGGGTTTGGGGTCATACTGGGAGTTGATTGGTCAGAGGAGGTCAGGGTAATGAGTTCTTTAGGCCTTGAGGACAGCTCAGAGGTCTTTTCTGGCATCCCTCTGTCTGGTCTCATGGAAAAGCAGCTGGGGTTCATCTACCTCAGGGCTCAGAAAGTGAAACATGACTTAGGTCAAGATGTCATCTTTATCCTCTCAGAGGTCCAGACTTTGGAACCATTAGTCAGGTCCAGACTATTGTCTCTTCTGCTTTGAGGGTTGCTGATTATCTGGAAGAAAGACTAGGTCTTTGAGGGACATATATATAGATAGAGTGGGTTATGATTTCTAGAGCTGGGATTTAAAGCTAAATTTAATCAAAGTCATAAGGACCCTTGATTTCATATTTTAAAATATTAAATATCATTATTTTACTAGGCACTGTAAAATTATTGTGCTTTAAACTCTTTAAATCAGTAACAGTGGATATATAGTGTTAGGATGACTAACTGACAATTATAAATCACATAGTGAATTAGTAGGTATTACCTATCATTGGAATATTTTCCTATGACATTAATCCACAAGAAATTGGTAGCAACTACAGTGAAATCCTGTCATTAGAAGCCTAGGAAATACTTTCAGACCTCCAGCCCCTAACAGAGTATTTTCTAGCATATCCACTGGTTGAGTTGGTCAGTTTCCTGTGCCTGGGTTTATTTTCTCTGGAAAGTGTTAGCTCTCTATCAAATTGCTATAGATTTTCTATAAGGAAATCTTCAGTATTAGACACCTATGTGGAAGCAGTAGTATTTATTTATTTATCTGTCTATTTATTTTTACTGTTGTTCAGTTACAGTTGTCCCCATTTCTACCCCCCATTACTCTCCCTGCCCTACCAACCCCCACTTCCCACATTCAGTCCTCCCCCTGCCCTATTGTCTTTGTCCATGGGTGCTTTATACATGTTCCTTGATGCCCCTTCCTCTTCTTTTCCCCATTATCTTCCCCCCTCTGGATACTGCCAATTTGCTCTTTATTTCCATGTCTCCTTCTATTTTGCTCACTTGTTTGTTTTATTGATTAGGTACCACTTAATAGGGGAGATTATATGGTACTTGTCTGTCACCTCCTGACTTATTTCACTTAGCACAATGCTCTCCACATCCATCCATGCTGTCATGAAGGGTAGGAGTTTGTTCTTTCTGCTGTGTAGTATTCCATTGTATAAATGTACAGTTTTTTGTTCCACTCATTTACTGATAGGCACTTAGGTTGCTTCCAGCACTTGGCTATTGTAAATTGTGCTGCTATGAATATTAGGATACATAGGTTCTTTTGAATTGTTATTTCAGGATTCTTAGGTTATAATCCCAGCAGTGGAATTTCTGGGTGAAAAGGCAGTTCCATTCTTAGATTTTTTGAGGAAATTCCATACTGTTTTCCATAGTGGCTGCACCAGTCTGCATTCCTCCCAATAATGTACCAGGGTTCCTTTTTCTCTACAACCTCGCCAGCACTTATTGTTTGTTGATTTGTTTATGCAATAGTGTTTATTTTAAAAGACATTTCCCAAAGTTTTCTTATCTGTAATTTGTATACTAGCCTATTCTTAACACAGTTGCTAAGTCAATTCTGTCAAAACATAAGTCAGGGTAAGTCATATCTCTGTTGAAAAGTTCCTGTTTCCTGCTAAAAACCAAAATTATACTCCTTCCTCCATTGTAGTCTTTCCTTTGCACACTTCCCTTTAGTTACATTGGATTCCTTGCTGTTCTTAGTACATGTCAGACACACTTTGCCTAGGAGCCTTTCCATTTACTGTTCCTTCTGCATGGACTATATTTTTCTTTTATTTTGTATTGGTTTCAAGTGTACAGATTAGTGGTTAGACAATCATATACTTTACATACAGTTCCCCTTGATATTTTCCGTACTCCAACTGACACCATACATAATTACCCACAATATTACTGACTAGGAATAGCCTTTTCTTATACATTTGCATGGATCACATTCTCAGCTCTGACAGCACTGCTCAAATAACAGCTTCTGCATGAGACAATCTAAATTGCTAATATCCACCCAGACCAGCATAACTTAGTTGGTTGAACATCATCCCACAAAGTAAAAGGTCTCTGGTTCAGTTCCTAGTCAGAACACATACCTGGGTTGTGGGCCCATTCCCTAGCCTGGGCATGTGTGAGAGGCAACCAATCAATGTTTCTCTCACACATCAATTTTTCTCTCCCTCTCTTTCTCCCTCCTTTCCTCTCTAAAAATATTAATAAAATCTTAAAAAATAAATTGCTAATATCCCTCCATACTACTACTAGCACTGCCATTTTCTTTTAACCTGCAGTGTTTTCTTTTAAATAGCACTTAATATCTTCTAGTATATTATATAATCTCCCCTTGCTAGAATGTAAGCTCTATAAAAAACTATAAAGTTGGAAATTTTTCTTTTTGTTTTTCTTGATGGTTCCTGTGGGAGAGGAAGAAACTTTCTTCTACCCACAAGGTTCTTTAGGCTGGTCTAATAATCAAATAGACATGAGACAGATTACCAAGAGAAAACAACCACATTTAATACAAATGTATGGGGATCCCATATACACTAGACACAGGGGTGTCCAACCTGCAGCCTGTGGGCCACATGTGGCCCAGGATGGCTATGAATGTGGCCCAACACAAAATCATAAATTTACTTAAACCTTTTTTTTTTTTGCTGATCAGTTTTCATTAGTATCTGTGTATCCAATGTGTGGCCCAACACAACTCTTCTTCCAGTGTGGCCCAGAGATGCCAAAAGTTTGGACACCCCTGACAGGGACCTGCATGTAGGAAAGGTTCAGAGACAGGAAAGGAACATGGCTATGTATGACATTTTTAGCTAGAGATGAGGTAATATACCTTGGGGCTTCAGAAGGTCACTCCAGGGAGGACACATGTTCAGTAATTAGTAGTTTGCCCTGCCACATAGATAGGTAAAAAGACGTTTCTGATGATAACTCTTACTGTGGGCCAGGCTTCTAATTTTATTTCTTCTGGGTAGTTAAGGAGGGTGGCAGGGAGCAGAAGTTTCTTTTGAGGCCACCAGGTCTTGTTTGCCTTTAGTTCAAAATAATGCACATACAACTGAGGCATATCTTAGGGTGGCTCCTTCTGAATCTCCATAGTCACCGGCAGTTAGAACAGTGCCTAGCAAATAGTTGGTATTTGATAAATATTTGTGTTGAATAAAGATGGCTTATAGTTTGAAAGAAGTATGTAAAATACATTTCTAATAATCTGTAAATTAGATGATTAGATACTCTTTAATATTGTTTTGAATTTATCACCCTGCCTTTTTTACTTTTGATAAGACTGAATATGTGTCACTCCTCTCCCTTCAAGCCAATATAATTTCCAGTGAAAGTTGGAAATTGGAGGTAGTTGTGGTAGAATATGAATTTCATTTGAAGGTCTGGAATGAGTGCTGAGATCTTGTTGCAGATGTTTTTCCCCTTTTTGTTGATGTAATAAAGGGGAGGCAGAGGAGAGTAATTAACTTAAGCTGTTCTTTATCCTATTTTTATGGAAATGTGATATTGTTTATTTTAAATCAGGGCTTGCATTTTAATTTAAGCCCGAGACATTTCTTATTCATATATTTCCTAGATTGTCTTTGGGTTGTGAGCCACAGAACTTTGTATTTGTAATATTTCATATTTTGCATCCTTTTGAGAAAGAGGCTTGGTTAAATCAACCCTGGCCATTTCTTTAGTCCTTCAGCTCACCTGTGTATATCCTGACTTGCTCAGTTTCTACCCAATCAAGCATCTGAAAACAACTACTATAATTGACAGATTATCACATAGTTGATAGTTGTTTTTTATTTTACCTCTGAAAAAAGAGCACATGGATCACCCTAGCTTTTGATTTGAGTTGGTGAGAGTAGTCTTTAGTTGAGATTTTCGAATGGTAGACTTATGTAGTACTAAATTATAACTTCATATTTTTGCGTAGAAAAATATGTTAGCTGTACTAGGTTGGCTTTATGATGTAATATAAATAGAAGTCATTTGGATAATCCATCTTTAGAAAAACAATATTAAAGATAACTTTTGCAGCAGTATAGTACATGATGCACAGGAACAAGTCAGTAATTTGTAAGATAAGGAAAAAGGAAACACCCAATCAGATCATCAAGAAGGAAAAAGAACCCCCCAAAATGAAGATAATGTAAGAAGTCTCTGGGAAAACTTGAGGTGTTATATTATTTGCATCAAAGGAGTCCTGGAAGGAGAAGAGAGAGAGCAAGGAATTGAAAACCTATTTGGAAAAAAAAAATGACAGTAAATTTCCCTAACCTGATGAAGGAAATAAATGTATAAGTCCAGGAAATGCAGAGAGTCCCAAACATGATGAACCCAAATAGGCCCACAGTAAGACACATCATAATTAAAATGGCAAAGGTTAAAGACAAAGAGATTCTTTAAGAGAGATTCTTTAAAGCAGCAAGAGAAAAGCAGTTAGTTACCTAAAAGGGAGCACCCATAAGATTGTCAGCTGATTTCTCAAGAAACTTTGCAGGCCAGAAAGGATTAAGAAATATTCAAAATGATGAAAAGCAAGGACTATAGCCAAGATTACTCTACCCAACAAAGTAGTCAAGAAAAAGCTAAAGGAATTCTTTACCACTACACCAGTTTTACAAGAAATGTAAAAGGGTCTTCTTTAAGAAGAAGAAAAAGTGATAAAAATATGAATAATAAAGTGGCAACAAATAAATATCTTTTAATAATTAATTTAAATACAAATGGATTAAATACTCTAATCAAAAGACATGAGCCCCGACTGGTGTCTCGGTTGGAACATTGTCCCATACACTAAAATGTTGTGGATTTGATTTCTGATTAGGGCACATACTAGGTTGCGGTTCAATCCTTGGTCAGGGCTCTTGCAGGAGGCAACAGATCAATGTTTCTCACACTGATGTTGCGCTCTCTCTCTCTCTCTCTCTCTCTCTCTCTATATCTATATATGTATATATATATATATATATATATATATATATATATATATTCACTCTCACTCTCTCTCCTCTCTTATATCAATAAACATATCCTCAGGTGAGGATTTAAAAAAAAAGACATGGTGGCTGAATGGATCACAAAACAATACCCTTACATATGCTATATACAAGAGACTCCCTTCAAATGAAAAGACACACACAGGCTGAAAGGAAAAAGATGGAAAAATATATTTCATGAAAATGAAAACAACAAAAACATGCTGGGGTAAAATAGGACTAAGTGATGAAGAGATAGCCAACCTCTCAGATGCAGAGTTCAAAACACTGGTAATCAGGATGCTCACAGAAATGGTTGAGTATGGTCACAAAATAGAGTAAAAAGTGAAGGTTATGCAAAGTAAAATAACAGAAAAATATACAGGGAACCAACAGTGAAGGGAAGGAAACTGGGACTCAAATCAAGGATTTGGAGCCGAAGGAAGAAATGAACATTCAACCAGAATAGAATGAAGAAACAATTCACAAAAATGAGGAGAGGCTTAGGAACCTCCAGGGCATCTTTAAACATTCCAATATATGAATCATAGGGGTGCCAGAAGGAGAAGAGGAAGAGCAACAAATTGAAAACTTATTTGAACAAATAATGAAGGAAAACTTGCCCAATCTGGCTAAGGAAATAGACTTTCAGGAAGTCCAGGAAGCTCGAGAGTCCCAAAGAAGTGGGACCCAAAGAGGAACACACCAAGGCACATCATCATTAAGTTACCCAAGATTAAAGACAAAGAGAGGATCTTAAAAGCAGCAAGAGAAAAGGAGACAGTTACCTACAAAGGAGTGCCCATAAAGCAATCAGCTGATTTCTCAAAAGAAACCTTACAGGCAGTAAGGGGCTGGAAAGAAGTATTTGAAGTCATGAAAGGCAAGGACCTACATCCAAGATTACTCTAATCAGCAAAGCTATCGTTTAGAATAGAAGGGCAGATACAGTGCTTCCCAGATAAGGTCAAGTTAAAGGAGTTCATCATCACCAAGCCCTTATTGTATGAAATGTTAAAGGGACTTATCTAAGAAAGTGAAGAAGATCAAAAACTATAAACAGTAAAATGACAACAAACTCACAACTATCAACAACTGAACCAACAAGAAAAAACAATGAAAACAAAAACTAAGCAAACAACTAGAACAGGAAGAGAATCAGAAGAATGGACATCACATGGAGGGTTTTCAATGAAGAAGGGGAGGGGAGGAATAGGGGCTAAAAGGTACAGGGAATAAGAAGCATAAGTGGTATGTAGAAAATAGACAGGGGGAGGTTAAGAATAGTATAGGAAATGTAGAACCCAAAGAACTTATATGTACAACCCCTGGACATGAACTGGGGATGGAGTGGGGAATGCTGGTGCAAGGTGGGTGCAGGGTGGAGGGGAATAAAGAGGAGGAAAAAATTGGGACAACTGTGATAGCACAATCAATGCAATATATTTTTTAAAAGTGTGCTGAGGTACCAATACCTACACCAGACAAAATAGACTTTAAAACAAAGGCTATAATAGATAAGGAAAGACCCAGCAATTCCACTTCTGGGCATTTATCTGAAGAAACCCAAAACACTAAATTGAAAGACATATACATCCACATGTTTATTGCAGCATTATTTACAATAACCAAGATATGAAAGCAACCTGTGTCCATCAATAAATGAATGAATTGATAAAGAAAACATAGTGCATATATACAATGCAATATGACTCAGACATAAAAAAAGAATAAAATCTTGCCATTTGCAATATTGTGGATGGTCCTAGAGGGTGTTGTGCTGAATGAAATAAGTCATACGGAAAAAATCAAATGCACAACATGATTTCACTTATATGTGGAATCTGAAATCAAACAAGCAGAACCAAAGTGGACTCATAGATACAGAGAACATGTTGACAGTTGCCAGATGGGAGGGGGATTGGGGAGATGGGTGAAAGATATGAAGGCATTGAGAAGTACAGATTGGCAGTAGCAAAATGGTCATGGGGATGTAAAGTACAGCATAGGGAATATAGTCAATAATATTGTAATAGCTATATATGGTATCAGATGGGTACTAGATTTATTGGGGCGATCACAAGTTATATAAATGTCTAATCACAAGGTTGTACATCTGAAACTAATATAGTACTATATATCAACTGGGTAATTTAAAAGTAAAAAAATTTCAGAAAGGTAAATTTTGCTAGCTGTTAGCCATGTACTTTAACAGTTGAAATATATCTGTATTTGTCAGATAGTTTGTTATGGTTTTATTTTCTTGTTTTCCATAGGATATTAGCTGCAATGAGATTCAGGTTCTTCCCCAACAAATGGGGCAATTACATTCACTGAGAGAGCTCAATATAAGAAGAAATCATCTTCATGCATTGCCAGATGGTAAGATGCTTACTGTTTTTACTGACATGAATGAAAGAGTAACTATGTAAAAAATTTAATTTAATTATTTTTCATTTCTGAATAGAATTAGGAGATCTTCCCTTAGTCAAGCTGGACTTCTCTTGTAATAAAGTGACCGAAATTCCAGTTTGTTACAGAAAGCTACATCATTTACAAGTAATAATTTTGGATAACAATCCATTGCAAGTACCACCGGCGCAGGTTCGTAATAAAAATTATATTTGTTTTTTCTCTTTTTATTCAGAATTATGTCTGTTACTGGTAAGTCAAAAAAGCATCAAAAGTAAAAGTTATTTTTTGTTGATGTATTACTGTCTAAAGGAGTTTTTCTGAGAAACACCTTTTTAACATTGGTAGGAGTTTTATCTTATCTTCTGGAGAATAGGATTTGGGAGACCCAGCTATGAACATTTTGCTTGTGAACTGATAATTCTGGTTGTCACTGTTATTTTCAAGGATAGACTATGCAGTCTCTCTACCTCTGTTCCATTCAGGTATATATCTGCTTGAGACTTGTGTGAGTGATTGAGGTACTTTCTTAGCACTGATAGGTGGAATCATGCTAGAAAGAAAAGTACTCAAGTATAAAAGTATTAACTTAGACTTTTAGTTTGAAGATTAAATCCATGTGGGATCCACTAAAATGATAGTGAAGGAATACACCAAAATATAAACCCACAAGGAGAAAGAATGAAAGAGAGAGGACAGCAGGGGAGAGATGGTAACAGTATTTTGGGAAATGGAAAATAATATGAAATAGTGGTAACTAGGTTCTCTACTTATACTGCATGCACAAGAGTATCTGCTATAGAAGGCACATGGAAGACAACTCCAGCCTGCTCTCTACTTTCAAGCCATTTGCCATGGCACAGGGTTTGCATCCATCCAGAGGAAGGATTGCCTTTTTCTTCCTGCAGAGGTACATTCTACTCATTCCAGAAGAGGTGCCTTTTCTAATTCTGATAAAGGCTGGCAGGAGTCCTGGTAGTAGTTGGCTTCAAAGGATTAGGAAGGCTGAAACTTATTTCTGCTATGGGAGAAGGCAACAAGAAACAAATTGATTTACTGTGTTAAACCTGGGAATTACTAGATTTTCTTGTTGTTGTAGATTATTGGAGGAAACATGTAGCTCTGAATATAGAGATGAAAGACTGAAAACATGAAAGTCTGTACAATGTCTAAGGCACTGCTGTTTAGTAAAAGTTTCTGAATGATGATATGGGAAGGAAAAAGAACTTTTCTTCTACCCTGTCTGGTCTAATAATCAAATTGACATGAGACAGGTTAACAGGAGAAAATGGTCAAATTTATTATATGTATGTACAAGGTCTGTCCAGACAGTATCCAGCCATGTACTATGAAAAATAGAGACATTTACTGAAGAAGATACAAGATACAAGAAACATTGTACACAGGAAAATGATGCCTCAGTCCCCTTCAAAGTAGGCACCTTGGGACCTCACACAGTTCTCCCAATAACCATCAGCTTTCCCATCATATTTTCCTGAATCTTATCGACACCTTGAAACCTCTTCCCTTTCAAAGGTGATTTTAGTTTTGGGAAAAGTCAGAAGTTCCAGGGTGCCAAATCTGGGCTATAGGGGGCTGAATCACCTGGGTGATTTGATATTGCACAAAAAGAAAAGAAAAAACTGCACAAGACAAGATGCATGAGCAGGCATGTTGTGATGAAGCTGTCAATCACCAGTTGCCCACAGCTGCAGCCTTCTGAATCCTCTGGATAGTTTCTGCAGAGTGTTCTAGCTTAATGCAGAATTTGTTACAGATTCATTGCTCTACTTGCTTGGTCATTTTGAATATGGTGACCACACAGAACACATGCTCTCAATGGTATCTATCACCCCCACTGACTAGCACATTGAAGTCTTCATTGTTCACAGATGCACATTCCAGTCCACTCTCTTTGGCTGCCAGGTTACATTCATGTCGCACAAACCGTTCTTGTTATATTAACAATAGTTTGATTTTTTTTTTCGGACAAACCTCTATATATGGGGGTTCTGTAAGAATATGGGATCCCAGGGCAAATTTGGCAGTTGAAATTTATATACAGTCTTCTCAGAAAGAGGGGTAGTGGTTTGGAATGCAAAGGGAAGGTAGGCGATTCACGGGTAGATAAGAAGGAGCAAATGTGTGGCAAACAAATTCTTGACAGGGCATCCAGACACAGAGGGGAGTCTAATGTACAGACTTTGCAGGTTCCTATCTGCCATATTTAGTTTATAACATGCTAAGGTGATCTCCCTTCCTGGGGCAGTTTTTCAATCTGATTTTTTTTTAGACAGGTGAGGAGGTAAAAGGCATTTTTGAGTCTTTTGTTTCTTAAAAATAACTAGCTTAAAATAATCAATATCTCCAAAGGCATATTTTGAGGTGGCAAACTTTGCTTCACCTCATGGGAATGTTTTATATACTGTGCTGACAAATACCATAGCCACTTGCCACGTGTGACTACTGAGAAATCAAAATATGTACTTCACTAAAGAACCAAATTTTTAAAGTATATTTTATTGATTATGCTATTACAGTTCTCCAAATTATCCCCTTTTATTGCCCCTCTGCCCTGCACTCCACAACCCTCTAGCATTACCCCCACTTAGTTCATGTCCATGGGTTATACGTATAAGAGCTTTCAATTCTTTGTTTCCTATACCATTCTTGACCTCTCCTTGTCTATTTTATGCCTACCAATTATGTTTCCTATTCCCTGCACATCTCTCCATTCCTCCCCTCCCCCTCCTCACTGAAAACCCTCCATGTGATGTCCATTCTTCTGATTCTCTTCCTGTTCTAGTTGTTTGCTTAGTTTTTGTTTTCATTGTTTCTCTTGTTTTTTTTTTTTAGGTTCAGTTGTTGATAGTTGTGAGTTTGTTGTCATTTTACTGTTTATAGTTTTTGATCTTCTTCACTTTCTTAGATAAGTCCCTTTAACATTTCATACAATAAGGGCTTGGTGATGATGAACTCCTTTAACTTGACTTTAACTGGGAAGCATTGCATCTGCCCTTCTATTCTAAACGATAGCTTTGCTGATTAGAGTAATCTTGGATGTAGGTCCTTGCCTTTCATGACTTCAAATACTTCTTTCCAGCCCCTTACTGCCTGTAAGGTTTCTTTTGAGAAATCAGCTGATTGCTTTATGGGCACTCCTTTGTAGGTAACTGTCTCCTTTTCTCTTGCTGCTTTTAAGATTCTCTCTTTGTCTTTAATCTTGGGTAACTTAGTGATGATGTGCCTCAGTGTGTTCCTCTTTGGGTCCAACTTCTTTGGGACTCTCTGGACTTCCTGAAATTATATTTCCTTCACAGGATTAGGGAAGTTTTCCTTCATTATTTGTCCAAATAAGTTTTCAATTTCTTGCTGTTGTTCTCCTTCTGGCACCCCTATAATTTGGATATTGGAACATTTTAAGTTGTCCCAGAGGTTCCTAAGCCTCTCTTCGCTTTTTTGAATTCCTGTTTCTTCATTCTGTTCTGGTTGGATGTTTATTTCTTTCTTTTGTTCTAAATCGTTGATTTGAGTCCTGGTTTCCTTCCTGTCACTGTTGGTTCCCTGAATATTTTGCTTTATTTCACTTTGGGTACTCTTCATTTGTTCTTTCACTTTTTAACCAAGCTCAATCAGTTCTGTGAGCGTTTTGATTACGAGTATTTTGAACTCTCCATCAAATAGGTCAACTATCTCCTCATCACTTAGCTCTCTTTCTGAGGTTTTGCCCTATTCTTTCATTTGGGCCATCTTTCTTTGTCTTGGCATACCTGTTAAGTTGTAAGGGGGCAGAGCCTTAGGTATTCACTAAGGGAAGGCGACTGTCTTTGCTGCACTGTGGTGCTGTCTGTGGGGGCCAGGGTCAGAGAGGGAACAATGCGGCTCGCCTGTTCATCTCTAGCACACTTTTCAATGAACTCTCGTGTGAGATTGGGAGTTTCTCCCACTGTGTCAACCCCCACCATAGTCCACAGTCAGCTCTGAGTCTCAGTTTCCCCTTAAGTCAGCCCATCTGGTACAGCCTGCTTCCTCGCCACAGCCAGCCCCCAGCCCCCATGGTCTGATGCCTCACCACAGTTCCTCTCCATTCACTGCCTTACAGGTCTAATTGTTCTGTTTGTCTGTTTCTTTAATTCTGTGGTTGTCAGAGTTTCATGCTGTTTGATTTTCTCCCACTTCTAGTTGTTTATTGATTTTAGCTTGGTTATTATCCTCCTTTTGGTTGTGCGAGGAAGTGAAGGGTTTCTACCTATGCCTCCATATTGGCCAGAACAGGAACCAAATTTTTAATTGAATTTTATTTTGATTAATTGAGATTTAAATAGTTTCATGTAATTAGTGGCTACCATTGGACACTAGAGATCTAAGATTTACATCCTCATATTCTTGCCCTTAGCTCTGTAGCCACATGACAGCCCCTCTCTTGCATTAGCAGAAGCCTGGGGTTTACTCTGAGGAGTAAGTAGTTTTTCTCAGATTCTATCTCTCAGATCAGAAGCCAAATGACTATTGCTTCTTGCCTTAGCAGAAGCCTGGAATTTACTCCTTAGAGTAGTGCTGTCCATTAGAACCTTTTGTGGTGATGGAAATGTTCTGTATCTGCACTGTACAATGTACTAGCCACCAAATGGCTGTTGGGCACTTGAAAATGTATAATGTGACTGAAGATTTGAATTTTTTTATTCAAGATGTAATTAATTCAAATAACCACATGTGGCTAGTGGGTACTGTATTGGACAGCACAACTGTAGGGAGATTGAAAACCAGAGTCAGGGGCTCTGAGTACAGGTATAGATAGGATGAGACTCTATACTGAGAACAACAAATGCTTTCATAGTGAGTGTTGGTACCCTCCAGTAGACTTCTATTACTAGGGTCCCAGAATGCATTTAGCCTATTTTATTTATCTCAGGCAGGATTGGTGGGTTCTCCCTTGGAAGTCTTATTCAACTAGGAGGGGGAATATATATAAATATATTTATATATTTATATTTATATTTATTTATATTTATATGTGCATACAGTTTCTATATAAATATTATATATATATAAAGTCTATACTTGAAAAATAAAATACACACACACACACACACACTGATCTTTGGGGTTGTCTCCTGATGAAATGGACAGTCTCTGTATGATCACTAGTCAGTGAGACTCACCATGGGTAACCTTCCCCCTCATATATAGAGCTTCCAGTTGGCTTCGTAGTTGCTTCACTCTTGAAAATGAACAGCCATGGACAAGTCGACAGTTGTAGTAATAATCTCTAACATGAAAGACAAGAGACGGAAACAGTGAAAGGCTTCCATTGAAACAAAATGGGTTACATTCATAGAAGTGACTATCAGAATGATGTCTCAGCAGCAGCATAGGAAACTAAAAGATGTTAGAACCACACCTTAAACAACTAAGAGAAAAGTTATATCTTTCTGTAATCAAGCTGTCAGTTAAGAGTGAGGTAAGAAAAAAAGACAGTTTCAAATATGCAAGATCTCAGAACGTTTAATTCCCATGTGCCCTTTATTAGAAAGTTAGCAGAGTTTGTAGTATATCAAAATGAAGGAGGAAATTAAGAAAGAGGAATCCTGGCCTGGCTGGTGTGGCTCAGTAGACTAAGTGCCAGCCTGTGAACCAAAAGGTAACCAGTTTGATTCCCAGTCAGGGAACATGCCTGTGTTGCGGGCCAGGTCCCCACTGGGGGGTGCATGAGAGGCAATCACACATTGATGTTTCTCTCCCTCTCTCTTTCTCTTTCTCTTTCTCTTTCTCTTTCTCTTTCTCTTTTCCTTTCCCTCTCTCTAAAAATAAATAAAATCTTTAAAAAAAGAAAGAGGAATCCTTCATGTTCAAGATTGACAGGTATACAGTAGGCCTAGAGAGCAGCCAGTCAGTTTGAAGTAGGGTGGTTGTCTTCTAAAAGGAAAAAGATAAATAAATTGATAAGTGACTTGATGTGTTTGTCAGTATGGACTTTTACAGTTTTGTCATAGAGTCAGGAATTAAGTAGTAAGGCACACAGGAAATTATGCCAAGGGAAAAAATGGGGTAATTAGTCACTTTAGAAAAAATGAAACTTATAGTAGAAAGGAAATTCAACTAAGGAGGTTCATCTGTGAAAATTTTCTTAGTCCTAACAGTGTAAATATTAGATTTTGATTTAAAGAAAAATTATAGTAGTGTTATAATAATAGTAAAGATAATTTAAATAGCACTTACTGGGCTCCAGGTACTGTTGAAAATTCTCTATATGTATTAGCTCATTTCTTACAGCAATTCTATAACACAATTACTGTCATTATACCTCATTTTATATATGAGGAAACAAGGACATAGAAGTTAAGTGACTGGTCTGAGTTCCAGCCAAGATGGAGGCATAGGTAGAAACCCTTCACTTCCTCGCACAACCAAAAGGAAGATAATAACCAAGCTAAAATCAATAAACAACTAGAAGTGGGAGAAAATCAAACAGCATGAAACTCTGACAACCACAGAATTAAAGAAACAGACAAACAGAACAATTAGACCTGTAAGGCAGTGAATGGAGAGGAACTGTGGTGAGGCATCAGACCATGGGGCTGGGGCTGGCTGTGGCGAGGAAGCAGGCTGTACCAGATGGGCTGACTTAAGGGGAAACTGAGACTCAGAGCTGACTGTGGACTATGGTGGGGGTTGACACAGTGGGAGAAACTCCCAATCTCACACGAGAGTTCATTGAAAAGTGTGCTAGAGATGAACAGGCGAGCCGCATTGTTCCCTCTCTGACCCTGGCCCCACAGACAGCACCACAGTGCAGCAAAGACAGTCGCCTTCCCTTAGTGAATACCTAAGGCTCTGCCCCCTTACAACTTAACAGGTATGCCAAGACAAAGAAAGATGGCCCAAATGAAAGAATAGGGCAAAACCTCAGAAAGAGAGCTAAGTGATGAGGAGATAGTTGACCTATTTGATGGAGAGTTCAAAATACTCGTAATCAAAACGCTCACAGAACTGATTGAGCTTGGTTAAAAAGTGAAAGAACAAATGAAGAGTACCCAAAGTGAAATAAAGCAAAATATTCAGGGAACCAACAGTGACAGGAAGGAAACCAGGACTCAAATCAACGATTTAGAACAAAAGAAAGAAATAAACATCCAACCAGAACAGAATGAAGAAACAGGAATTCAAAAAAGCGAAGAGAGGCTTAGGAACCTCTGGGACAACTTAAAATGTTCCAATATCCAAATTATAGGGGTGCCAGAAGGAGAACAACAGCAAGAAATTGAAAACTTATTTGGACAAATAATGAAGGAAAACTTCCCTAATCCTGTGAAGGAAATATAATTTCAGGAAGTCCAGAGAGTCCCAAAGAAGTTGGACCCAAAGAGGAACACACTGAGGCACATCATCACTAAGTTACCCAAGATTAAAGACAAAGAGAGAATCTTAAAAGCAGCAAGAGAAAAGGAGACAGTTACCTACAAAGGAGTGCCCATAAAGCAATCAGCTGATTTCTCAAAAGAAACCTTACAGGCAGTAAGGGGCTGGAAAGAAGTATTTGAAGTCATGAAAGGCAAGGACCTACATCCAAGATTACTCTAATCAGCAAAGCTATCGTTTAGAATAGAAGGGCAGATGCAATGCTTCCCAGTTAAAGTCAAGTTAAAGGAGTTCATCATCACCAAGCCCTTATTGTATGAAATGTTAAAGGGACTTATCTAAGAAAGTGAAGAAGATCAAAAACTATAAACAGTAAAATGACAACAAACTCACAACTATCAACAACTGAACCTAAAAAAAAAAAACAACAAGAAAAACAATGAAAACAAAAACTAAGCAAACAACTAGAACAGGAAGAGAATCAGAAGAATGGACATCACATGGGGGTTTTTCAATGAGGAAGGGGAGGGGAGGAATAGGGGGGGAAAGGTACAAGGAAGGAGAAGCATAATTAGTAGGCACAAAGTAGGTGGGGAAAGATAAAAATGGTACAGGAAACTGAGGACTCAAAGAACTTACATGTACAACCCATGGACATGAACTAAGTGGGGGGAATGCTGGAGGATTGGGGGGGTGAATGGTCGAGGGGGAATAAGCGGGAAAACTGAGAAAACTGATAGCATAATCAGTAAATTATACTTAAAAATAAATTATTAAAACCAACTAAAAGAAAGTTGGTTAAATGACTGGTCAAATCACATGGCTAGTAAGAGGTAAAACCCAGATTCAAATCAAGGCTGTCTGACTCCAAAGTTTATACTCTAACCTATGCTATGCTTCTAAAGAGTGAGGAAGTATATTTACATGAGTTTATGGTGATTGGAGATGGGAGGATGGTAGGTGTGGTATTGATGATATATGAAAGTGGTAGTAGTCATAATGTTAGAAATCTAAATCCTCTTTTTCCTTAGGAAGACTTCAACAATTAAAGGTCTATACTTGAAAAACAAAACAAAACACTAAAACCATGCTCTTTATAACTGTGCATGAAAATCACAGAAAAGCGACTAAAAGAGTCAAATGAGGAACTGGGTCTTGGAGATTGAAAGGGATAGAATGCAGAATTAATTTTTTGTTATCAGTTTTATAATTCTCCATGACTTTTGAAACTACATATGTGAATTACTATGATTAAAAATTGAATTACAAAAAAAAAAATTCATGGGCATTTAATTTGGTGATGAAAGAAATTTATGTTTGTAGTTTAAGGAGACATAAGATGCATCTTAATTGATAATGTATTTATAGTCTAATAGCTCAAATGTTTAAATATTTTTTAAATGAAATTTTTCAGCAGTCAAGTCAGATCTGGTATCTGTTAGAATTATCTAAGAAATGTTTCTCCTTTATACCTGGTATGATAATTACTTCTGAATGTATCTTTCATACTGTTTTCTTTGTAGATTATTTCTGCATGTGTTGGTAGGTTATGTGACTCATAAAACAATATTTTTGTTCTAATTTTTGCAAGGTACTTGTTTGCTATAACTTAAGGTGACTGCAGTTAACGTTTGTAAATCTGACTTATCACTTTCTTACCACTCATTGTCTCTCTTTTTTATATAGTATACTTTTTCTCACATAGTATTTTACCCCTCATTATTCGTATTCTCTCTATCACCAATGAAAATGACTTTTTAGGGTTAGGGTTAGGGTTGGGGGGATGGGCTGGGAGGGGAGATAAAAGGCAGAAAACTGTTCTTGAACATCAATTAAAATAAAACAAAGAAAAGAACTTTTTAGGGTGTTATCTTAGTTGAATTGGCCACTTATAAATTATTTTATTATAATTAGCCTACCATCACACCTTAGAACAAATTCATTTTTCGTATATTTAAATTTTTGATTAGTTTTCTGGCAGTGTTTAGACCAACCAGCTTAGTGGTTCTGATGAGATAACTTTAAAGAATTACATGGTTCATTTTATTTTCTGTTTTCACCAGTACAATAAATGTATTTGTTTTTGCTTTTTTTCTGATGAAGGCAACTTTCATGAATTGTAAATTCTATATTGTTTAGTGGTCGTACATTGTACCGTTAATAAGAAAACTTTAGTGAAATACAGAAAAATTAACTTAGTTTTTCTAATAAGAAAAGAGAAATAGAATTTTAGTATCAGTATTGTCAGATATTTTTACTTCATGTCAGAAGTACAAATTAATTAAATATCCAAAGTATCTATCATGATTGTGATGTCTTAGATTAATTTGAGATTATAAAAATGTATAAATAAATTGGCAGATGGTATTTTTATTTGGACCTGTATAATTAAACCTTTCTCTATTATTTATTGACAGATATGTTTAAAGGGTAAAGTACACATATTTAAATACTTAAATATCCAAGCATGTTGCAGAATGGATAAAAAACCAGATTCTCTGGATCTTCCATCGTTGAGTAAAAGAATGCCCTCCCAGCCTCTCACAGACAGGTAATGTAATATTCTTACAGTCTTGTTTTATTATTGGTATCTTCTCTGTATGTAAAAAGTATTTATTAATCTTGAGTGTACTGAATATGTTTAGGCTGATTGGCTCAGTATAAAATTCAATAATGGGCTGAAGTAAAATATCACCATCATAGAATAAACTTCTGAGATGCTAGAATCAATTTGGAATTTTCTTAAAAGATAATTATTATTAAAGCTCTAGTAGTAAAATATAAATGTTTGATATTATAGCACAGAAATACTAATTTCTTACCACTTGAAACCTATGAATTTACTCCTGTGGTCACACTATTGCACATTTGTAAAAACAAGTAGAATTTGAATTTGATATGAATTTGGTGGGAAAACAAGACATTTTGGGGTACTTTTCACATTCTTTATATATTTTATATCTAGATCAAAGATGATTTTTCATCGGTGTTCTTCTGTATGATATTGGTGTTTTTATCCTCATGAGATTTTGAAATGGTAGATTTCATATTCTGTTTTTAATTCATCTTTTCAAGATGTATGTTGGTCTGATTTTATGAAAATATAATTCCATTCACTAGTATGGAAAATAATTGGAATGGGGTAAGACTGCAGAAGGGTAGCCTATGACCCTGTCTAAAATGTTTAAAGGTTTGACATTGTATTTATGACAAAGTTAGACTACTTGGAAAGTCAATATAGTAAGTACTGTTAACAGTGCGCGTTCTGGAATTCCCAAATAGGACTTTTTAATGAATTTTTTTCTGTTGCCTAAGGAGAATTAAATATCCAAACATTAAATTTAGTTCCTAAAGATCCTTTTGTTTAATATTATGAATGATAGTAAACCAAACAATTCTATAAAAATTAGAATTAATTCATATTATGATCTCTATGAGTCTGCTTTATATTTATTTATAAAATGATGTTACTTTAGTAACAGCATTTCTTATATTAGTCCTCTATTTTACAAATACAGTAACATACCTAGTGGTGCATTCTGGGTATGTTTTGTTGAATGGCTTACACATTGGTCTCAGCTTTCATGTAGCCCACAGTCTAATGTAAAAGTCAGTTAATAAATAAAACAAGGAAATACAACAAAAATAATTTTAAATTTCCTTGCTATAAAGGAAAGAAATATGTTTCAGGAGTAAAGATACAAAAATTATCTTTGGTAAGATGAGGTTTCAAGGTAAGACCTGAAAGGAGAAAAGGTAGCTGTGTAAAGAGAGAGAGGAAGAGACATGTACAAAGGCCTTAAGTTAAGAAGAGACTGGTGTGTTAAAAGACTGAATGGAGACCAGCATGGTTGAAGCGGTGTGGCTGAAGGGTAGTGTACAAGTTGATTTTGGTTAGTGAGGACTCAAGTCGTGTAGGGGTTTTGGAGACTGTGATAAGGAGTTTAAATTGTACTTCGAGTACAGCAGGAACTCATTGGACAGCATGGGAATAACATGAATCTGATTTCTGTTGAAAAAAACTATCTTGGCTCTTACAGGGAGAATAGATTGGAAGTAAACAAACATGGAAGCACAGGGACTAGTTAGGTTGTTGCAGTACTTCCACGAGATCAAGGAGTCTTGAATAAGGTGATTGTAGTAGAGATGAAAAGGAGTGGACAGAATTGAGATATATTTTGGAGATGGTCTGTAGCAGTGTCACCCAATTTAAATATAATGTGAGCCACATGTGCAATTTTAAATTTTCTTGTAACCCATTTAAAAAAAAAGTAAAAAAAAGAAACAGGTGAAATTAATTTTAACAATACACATTATTTAACTCAGTATATCCAAAATATTTTAACATGTGATTTAGATATAATAAATTAGTGAGTCAATTTGTAGTCTTTTTTTCCCTATTAAATCTTTGAAATCTTGTGTGTATATTACTTACATTTATAGCATGTCTCAATTTGGCCTAACTATACTGAAAGTGCTCAATTGCTATATACTCCTAGTGGATGCTGTATTGGACACTGCAGGTCAATAGTTTACTTACAAGTTGATTCTTGGATGTTCTCATCTCTTGCTCACAACCTATACTGAAGTACCTAGACAATTCTTGTATGTTAATTTCACTTTCAGATTCATGCCCTTGCCTATATTGTTCTTACTACTTATAACACCCTCTAGTACCTTGACTATCTTGTAAATACTTTATTCTACAAAAATAAGCATTACAGTAATTCTGTATATCAGCTTTTGGACTCTGACATAATGTGGGTATAAAGCCCTTCCCCAAGTCTTAAAAACTATGTTCTTGTGTCATACTCTCTTTGGTCCTCAGTTTTCTTATATGTAAACAATCATATGGATGATGTCAGGATTAAATGAAATAACGTCTATGCAGTACTTTAACACATTGCCCTACCCATAATAATTCCTCAACAAGTAGCTTGTTATTAACATTGTCATCTTTTAGAAATACACAGATGTATTTTATTATAGTATATGGTATTCTTGTGCAGTGGAATTGGATGCATTTCAACTCTTTTTTTTTAAGATTTTATTTATTTATTTTTAGAGAGGAAAGGGAGGGAGATAGAGAGAGAGAGAGAGAAACATCAATGTGCGGTCGCTGGGGGTTATAGCCTGCAACCCAGGCATGTACCCTGGCTGGGAATCGAACCTGCGACATTTTGGTTCGCGCATTTCAACTCTTAATCACTGTTTAATCTCTTAATTCCCCTGTGACCTACATTATGTAATCTCTCTGAGCTTTTTCTTTAATTTAAAATGTTAACAATACCCACTTTATGAGCTTGTTGTGAGAATTAAATGTACACTTGGCAATTGGTGGTTACAAAATAGTTAGGGAGGCGAAGTACAGCATGGGAATGTAGTTAATAATATTGTAATAATTGTATGGTGCTAGGGGGGTACTGGAAATATTATGGGAGAACAATTGGTAAAATATATGGTTGTCTAACCACTATGTTGTACACCTGAAACTGATACAAAATAATATTGAATGTAAACAGTAAGTGAAAGATAAAATTTAAATTAAAAAAGAATAAAAATAATAAATAAGTTTTTAAAAATAGTTTTGGAACCCATACTTGAAAGTATAATGTAGGGCTCAATTCAACATAAAGCTGAAGTATTTAATGATAATAAAAATAACAGCATTAATAGTAACACAAAAAATATATATGTGTGCTAGGCAACTAGTTCAGTAAATGATATTTGGTAAATGTTATAATTTTCCCTCTTGGACAGTTGACTTTTTATAAGCTTTATTGTCCTCACTTGTAAAAAGAGGTGATGTATACATTGTGTAATGGAAGGATTATTAGTAAAATATGAAGTACACTTGGCACAGTATCTAACACTTAACAAATATTAGCAATTTTTGCATCTTTTTATCCTTCAAGACTAAGCTCAAATGCCATTTTCTTGGATAAGACCTTTCCTAAACCTTAGCAAGGAAAATTAGTTAATTTCTCTTTTCTCACAGCACTTTATATTTGCCCTTGACATAGTCTTCAAACCATATAAACATTACTTCTCTTCTGGTCTGAGATCCCTTTGTGGTCAAACATTTTAAATTTATCTCATTTTATCTCATCTCAGGCTTTCAAAATAGTGCCTAACAGTTGGTAATTGCTTCCCTATATTTCTTAATATACTCCAGAAAAGTATAAAAATCATTGTTTGGGGAGGAAATACAGCATAGTGATTAAAATCAGGGAGTTTAGTGTTAGATAATCTTGGGATCAAATTTAGACTGCCATTTGCAAGTTGCATGCCATTGGGTAAATTGTTCAGCCCCTCCTGGCCTCGGTTTCCTCATCTGTAAAATGAGAAAACACCAACAATCTGCTAGAGTTTTCACAAGGTATATTTGAGGTATCATCTTTAAAGCACTTAGTCCAATTTTTGGCACATGATAAGCGGTCAATGTAGAGTGTTTTGTAAATTTGCAAGTTAAAGTGAAAAATACTTTGTAACCTCGTTGGCATACTGTGTAATTCAGAAATTTATAAAGACAGCTCTGACCTCACACCAAAACAATTGTTTATTCAATGCTTTGCAGACTTTGTTTTGCATTTTCTGTTCTTAATTATTAAATGGACATTATATATGAAGCTATAGAATATTTTTAGAGCTAATGTGAAGAATAAACTGAAAAAACTTCATCATTCTATAGTGAAATTTGTCCAACCAATGACCAAAAACAGAAAGGTTTTTTTTTTTTATCAAGATGATTTTGTAGCAAGACTATCTGCTTTTCTGAATTTCATAGGAGAAATAATAATAGCCTATTATTAACAATTGACACTTTATAATAGAGTACATGGAGGAAAAATATTTCATGAAGGACACAAATAAAGTGTTTTGTAGCAAGATTGTTGACATTTTTCCCCTCATGTCCTTAAGGATCTTAGATATCAAAAATGCATATTCTGTATTATATAGCAAAAATTTAGGTCAAATCTATATTATCTATTTAAGACAAAAATCCTAACTGTGCTTAGAATTTTTGTTTCCATAGTATGGAGGATTTTTATCCAAATAAAAATCCTGGTCCTGACTCTGGAATTGGAAGTGATAATGGAGAGAAACGATTATCTGCAACAGAAGTGAGTAATTTTTATTGCTAATCTATTTTATTTTAAAAATTTATTAGAGCTTTGACATAGATACTTGCACTTATTTAATTTATTTTGTTTAAAAATATAATCATCATTACATTAAAACTTTTTTATCCATTGATTTTAGAGAGAGAGAGAAGAAGGAAGAGAGAGGGAGGGAGAGAAACCTCAGTTTATTTTTCCACTTATTTATGCATTCATGGGTTGATTTCTTGTATGTGCTCTGACTGGGGACCAAACTTGCAACCTTGGCACATTGGTACAGTGCTCTAACCAACTGAGCTACCCAGCCAGGGCACATCATTACATTTTATGATTTCAAATATAAACAGGCACATTCTTAAAAGCAAAACAGGAAACCTTAACATACTACTTTTTGGCTTGAAAATTGGAGATGTAAATAAAATATTCTACTCTTTATATGTGAAATTGAAGCAACTAAATTCTTAATCATATGTTTAAAATGCTTCGTTGGTGCTTGGGTTTATTTCTTTCAGCCATCAGATGATGACACAGTCAGCCTTCATTCTCAAGTGTCAGAATCAAATAGAGAACAGACATCAAGAAATGACAGTCACTCAACTGGAAGCAAACCTGATTCTCAGAAAGGTGATCCATATGTTTTTGCTATATTTATTTTATATACATAGCCCTTAGTAAAAGTGGATGTTTTATTAAAAGTGGGCTTTGAAAAATACTATCTTTGGCTAACTCTTTCATTGAGAAAATCCACTTTTCTTTTAAGCACTGCAGTATCAGAGCATACTATTTACATATTTTTTAAATTTTTATTATTGATTTTAGAGAGAGGGGAAGGGAAAGAGAATGAGAAGGAGAGAAACATTGATGTTAGAGAGAAACATCTATCAATTGCATCTCACACATGTGCTGACCTGGACCAAACCCACAACAGGCCTGTGCCCTGACTGAGAATTGAACCCGCAAACTTTTGGTTTATGAGATGATGTTCAACTGAGCCACACCAGCAGGGCACTATTCATATTTTTTTAAATGTTTTATTTATTTATTTTTAGAGAGAAGGGAAGGGAGGGAGAAAGAGAAAACATCGATCAGTTGCCTCTCCAGTGTGCCCTGACTGGGAACCAAACCCACAATCCAGGCATGTGCTCTGACTGGGAATTGAACCTGCAACCTTTTGCTTTGTGGAACGATGCCCAACCAACTGAGCCACACTGATCAGGACAATATTTTTTTAATAAATATTATTTTATACTTAGACCAGGAGGTGTATGATTTTATTGACCTCAACACAGAAGATGTAGCAGTTTCTGAACAAGGAGATACACATGTTGGATCCTTTGTTTCTTTCCTTAAGGTAAAGGAAACTTTGAACAAATATTAATAACATGTTCTTCTTGATCTAACAAAAATGGACCATACAATTTAAATGGTAACTTTCTTTTATATAAGGGAAAAGAAAAAGGCCTTGAAAAATTACAGAAAAATGAAGAATTAGGAGATGAAAAAAGGTAAGCACACACACAAATTCTCAATTTGAAATGCTACTTATAAATGCTTGAAATATTTTTAAGATATTCCTACTTGAAAGAATATAATTTTTGTTGGTTTGCTTGTTGTATTCAGATAATTAATTTGCAAATACTTTGCCTGCTCATGTTCTTCAATTAAACTGAAAATTATCATAAGCATTTAGGTTGAGTGTAGTATATACATGTTTTTTCCCAGAAATGTAATAATAATGTTTCCTGTGATTATTACTGAGGAGGACTATATTTTCACATGCATTGCTTCATTTGAGCTATTTATCAAGACTTTAAAATAGATGGTATTGGCATCATATGACAAATAAGAAAACTGAGACCCAGCATTTCAAATGTCTGCAACTCAGGTGTTCTGACTCTTAGTCTGACTCTTTTATTGAGAATATATACTTTCCATCAGATTGGTCATAGTAATGTTAGGAGTATTTGATATTTTATTAAAATAATTGTGCTTTGGATCTTTTTCTGTGTCATTTATCTTATGAAATGATGGAACATGACCTACTAAATTTTTTCAGTCACTCCTTTAAGTTCCTTCATAGCTGCAGGAAGGAAAGGAGGAGCATTTGTTGAATATCTACCGCATACCAGAATCTGTGCTATATGCTTTCCCATCATTCTTAAATAATCTTCACTAAATTCTGCTGAGTAGATATTGTTCTCATGTTTACAGCTGAGGAAGATGAAGCTTGGAGACTGAAGTTTCTTGCCTAGAACCACTTAGCTAGTGTCCAGCAGAACCTAGAGTATAAACTGAGCCCTCTCTGATCCCTGTGATTTTCTCTTTTCTCTACATTGTGCATCCTCTAAATGACTTCACTGGTATATTTTTAAGCAGTCATTAATTAATCATTTCTGGGACATCATACGGAGGTGCATTATTTTGTCTTATACTCTATATGTTTAATTCTTTTACTTTCTCACCTTATCTCACAAAGACAGTTGCCTAAACTTGAGAGTTACTGGTGGCATACAAGTTATGGTAAAGATACAAAGTCTTAGGATTTATACTGGTTTTTTTTATTAATACCTTTGAGATAAAATTACTAGAATTTGGTGGGCAATTTATTTTAAAATTTGTTCTCCTTGAATGATAAAAATTATGTATTTTAATGAGTATTTTTGGAAAATTTTCCAGTCTTATTTGAACCTATTTTGTATTTCTTCTACTTAAACATTTTTGCACAGAGATTTTAAAGGTTGCTATAAATAAACTTATGTAAGAAGGTGGTTTAATAAAATAAAATATTCAGACTGACCATATAGACTTCTGCAGCTCTTATTACACTCAATGCTGGGGAGTATACATTATTAAATTATTATGGGCATTACACATTTCAGAAATGAAAAGTAATACTACAGTTTACTTTGTTAGCCATTAATTATATTAATATAATAAGTATATCACATTTTCTGTTTAGTAGAGGGGATAGATATGTTTTTATATGCTTTTTTAAGTTTGACAACTGAATATTTATTTATTTTTAAAGTATTTTTAATGGTTATATTATTACAGTTTCCCCAAGTTTTCCTCCTTTATCCCCCCTCTACCCTGCTCCCCAACCCTCCAGCATTCCCCACCCCCCTTAGTTCATGTCCATGGGTTCTACATATAAGATCTTTGAGTCCTCTGTTTCCTATACCATTTTTATCTTTCCCCATCTACTTTGTGCCTACTAATTATGCTTCTCCTTCCCTGTACCTTTTCCCCCCATTTCTCCCTTCCCCCTCCTGACTGAACTCCCTCATTTCTCTGATTCTGTTCCTATCCTGGTTGTTTGCTTAGTTTTTGTTTTCATTGTTTTTCTTTTAGGTTCATTTGTTAATAGTTGTGAGTTTGTTGTTATTTTATTGTTCATATTTTTTATCTTCTTTCTCTTAGATAAGTCCCTTTAACATTTCATACAATAAGGGCTTGGTGATGATGAACTCCTTTAACTTGACCTTATCTGGGAAGCGTTGTATCTGCCCTTCTATTCTAAATGATAGCTTTGCTGGATAGAGTAATCTTGGATGTAGGTCCTTGCCTTTCATGACTTCAAATACTTCTGTCCAGCCCCTTCTTGCCTGCAAGGGTTTTTTTTGAGAAATCAGCTGATAGCCTTATGAGAACTCTTTTGTAGGTAACTGTCTCCTTTTTTCTTGCTGCTCTTAGGATTTTCTCTTTGTCTTTAATCTTGGGTAACTTAATGATGATGTGCCTCAGTGTGTTCCTCTTTGGGTCCAACTTCTTTGGGACTCTCTGGGCTTCCTGGACTTCTTGGAAGTCTATTTCCTTTGCCAAATTGTGGAAGTTTTGCTTCATTATTTGTTCAAATAAGTTTTCAATTTCTTGCTGTTGGTCTTCTCCTTCTGGCACCCCTATAATTCAGATATTGGAACATTTCAGGTTGTCCCAGAGAGTCCTCAGCCTCTTCATTTTTTTTGGATTATTGTTTCTTCATTCTGATTCAGTTGGGTGTTTATTTCTTCCTTTGGTTCCAAATCGTTGCTTTGAATCCTGTTTTTCTTCTTGTCACTGTTGGTTCCCTGAATATTTTGCTTTGTTTCATTTTGGGTATCCCTCATTTGTTCTTTCATTTTTCAACAAAGCTTAATTGATTCTGTGAGCATTTGATTACCAGGGCTTTAAATTCTCCATCTGTTAGGTTGGCAATGTTCTCATCACTTAGTTCTGAGCTTTTGCTGTATTCTTTCACTTGGGCCATATTTCTTTGTCTTGGCACACCTGATAGGTTATAAGGGGGTGGGGCCTTAGGTATTCACCCAAGCAGGGCAACCCTTCTTGCTGCGCTGCCTGTTGGGGAGGGGCCAGAGAGGGAGCAATGCAGCTCTCCTGCTGGTCTCTAGTGTACTTTCCAACAGACTCTTGAGTCAGACTGGAAGTATCTCCCACCTTGTCAACCCCAGCCGTAGCCCACAATCAGCTCTGAGTCTCAGTTTTCCCCTTAACTCAGTCCCTCCCATGCAGCTCTGCCAAGTTCAACAGTTGGCCTCGCCCCTTGGCCACCTCGCAACAGTTTTTCTGAGTTTTTTCTGAGTCTCCAGCCTTTTGATGGTCTGGTTGTTCTGGTTGATTTTTTCTTTAATTCCTTTATTGTTGGAGTTCCATACAGTTTGATTTTCTGGTGCTTCTGGTTGTTTATTGATTTTAGATTGGTTATCCTCCTTTTGGCTGTGGGAGGAAGTGAAGGGTTTCTTGGTCATCTTGGCCAGAACTCTGTTTTTATATTCTTTAAATATTCCTTATTTCTTATTTTACTGTTTTAAATACAAGGACATTAAGATTTTAGCTTTTGCATGGTACTACAAACAAAATGGCTTCTAATTCTGGAAGCTGGCATAAAATAAAGAGACTTGCCTTGGGGTGATGAACACAGAATGCAGTATACAGAGGATGTATAAAAGAATTTTACACCTGAAACTTATATAATGTTATTAACCAGTGTTACCCCAATAAATTCAATAAATAGAAACTAAAAATAAAACAAATGAAAAAATCTTCTGCCTTATTTTTGGATAACCAAAATTTGTGTCGCCTTTCAGACTTGGAAAAGAACACTTACTTGCTGAGGAAGAGGATGATGATTTGAAGGAAGTAACTGATTTGAAGAAAGTAGCTGCTCAGTTATTGCAGCAAGAGCAAAAGAACAGGTATATTTTTGTAATGAGATTTAAATAGGCAAATTTAATATTCACCAAATCTGATTATTTAAAGATTATCCAATAAAGTATATGAAGTTTCCAATAAAAAATAAGCCTATTTTGTTTTATTTGAAGGTACTAATTGCTAAAAGACAGTAGGAAATACTTAGGAGAAAAATGTAAAGTTACATGTACAATTAAGAGAATGTACTCATAATATCGTTATATTTAATTATTGCTTAAGTATATCTTTTTTATTCCTATGTGCTAAATAATAATTGATTATTTGTTGATATTGATTTTAGCTCACAATAGAATTAGATATGTTATAAGAATTTTATGAATATGTCATAAGTACATAGTGTGCTTTTTATCAGATTCCTAATTACTTGGGATATGTGTAAACTTCTTAGAAATTAATTGAATTATATAATGGGTGATTAAATCAGCTTGATAATTTGAGGATCACAGATTCACTTTGATCTGTTTGTTGGTCAGCTAACATTTCTCCCTTTGGCTAAGCTGTGCCCAAATGCTTGTCTTTGTCAGTGACAAAGACATTGTATCAATGAAATAAAATCAGTAGAAGCTCTTTTTTTTCAGTTACAGTTTATATTCAATAGCATTTTTTTATTGTAAGTGTACAGCGTAGTGGTTAGACAATTGTATACTTTACAAAGTGTTCTTGCCACCCTCAGTATTATCAGTACGTATCTGGCACCACACACAGTTAATACAATATTATTGACTTATTTCCTATACTGTACTTCAGATACTCAAGGCTATTTTGTAACTCCCAATCTGTACTTTTCTATAACTTCACCTTTACCACCCATTCCCCCAACCAGCTTGCCCTCTGGAAAACATCAGTGTGTTCTCTGTATGCATGGATTTGTTTCTGTTTTGCTTGTTCATTTATATTGTTGTATAGATTCCAGATGTAAGTGAAATTATGTGATATTTGGCTTTGTATGACTGACATAATTTCACTTAACATAAATACTCTGGTCCATCCATGCTGTTGCAAGTATTATGATTTTGTTATATTTTTATTCCACAGTATATATGTACCACTTTTTCTTAATCCCCTCATCTGTTGATGGATGCTGGGGTTGTTTCCATATCTTAACTATTGTAAATAATGCTGCATTGAACATAGGGGTGCTTCCGTCCTTTCAAATGCGTGCTTTGGTTTTCTTTGGATATGTTCCCATAAGAGGATCTTGGGGTCATAAGCAGTTCCATTTTTAATGTTTTTGAGATATATCTATACTGTTTTCCATACTGAATGCACTGCATTCCCACCAAAAGTGTACTAGAGTTCCCTTTTCTCCACATCCTTCTCAACATCCTTATTGTTTATTGATGGTAGCTATTCTGACAGGCATGTGTTGATATGTCATTGTAGTTTTAATTTGCATTTCTCTGGTAATTAGTGATGTTGAGCATCTTTTCATATGTCTGTTGGCCATCTCTATGTCCTCTTTGGAGAAGTGTCTTCAGGATCGCTGTCCATTTTTTGGGGGGGGCATTTTTAAAAATTTTATTTTAATTATTGTTCAAGTACAATTTTTTATCTTTTACTCCCATCCTGGCCCACCCCCAGCCCTCCCTACCTCCCTCCCATTTCCACCCACCCCTAGTTTTTGTCTATGTGTCCTTTATACTTGTTCTTGTAAACCCTTCCTCTTTTCCCCTGATATTCCCCTGAAATTCCCTCCCCTTTCCCCTCTGAACACTGTCAGCCTGTTCTCTACTTCAGTGTTTTTGGTTATATCTTGCTTGTTTCTTTGTTTTGTTGATTAGGTTCCTGTTAAAGGTGAGATCATATGGTATTTGTCTTTCACTGCTTGGCTTATTTCACTTAGCATAATGCTTTCCAGTTCCATCCATGCTGTCTGTCGCAAAGGGTGATTTTGTTTTTTAATTGGATTGTTTGTTTCTTTGTTTGTTTTGGTGTTGACTTGTCTGAGTTAATTGTAAATTCTGGATATTAACCCCTTATCAGATGTATCATTGTCAGATGTTTTCCCATTTAATGCATTGTCTTTTCATTTGTTGATGGTTTCCTTTGCTGTGCAAAACCTTTTTATGTTGATGTAGTCCCATTTGTTCATTTCTTCTTTTGTTTCCCTTGCCCGACCAAATATATCAGAAAGAAATATTGCCAAAGGAAAGGTCCTAGATTTTACTGCCTATGTTTTCTCCCCAGATTTTTATGGTTTTGAGACTTACTTTTAAGTCTTTAATTCATTTTGAATTTATTCTTGTATATGGTGAAAGAAAGTGGTTGAGTTTTATTTTTTGCATGTATCTGTACAATTTGCCCATTCCTGTTTATTGAAATAAATGTCTCTACCCCATTATATGTTCTTGCTTTATTTGTCAAGTATTTTTTTGTTTATGTATGTATTTATTCATCTGTTTATCTGTTTTACATCTTGTTAGAAAAAAATCACATATATGGACCAGATAGCTCTCTTTCAGTAGAGGAACTTAGACAATGCTCTTTATTTCTCTAAATCTTCGAGGGTTTTGTACTTTCTTTTTTTTTTAAATCATTATATTGCTGTTCAATTACAGTTGTCTATATTTACCCCATCCACAACCAAACCCACCTCCCTCCCTTGCTTGCATGCCACCCCCCTTGATTTTGTCCATGTGTCCTTTGTAGTTTTTCTTGAAAACCATTCCACCCATTATTTCCTCCCACCTGCCCTTTGGTTACGGTGAGATGGTTCTTAATTTCACTGTCTCTAATTATATTTTGCTTGCTTGTTTGTTTTGTTAAGTAGGTTCCACTTAAATGTGAGATCATATGGTATTTGTCTTTCACTGCCTTGCTTATTTAATTTAGCATAATATTCACCAGTTCCATCCATACCATTGCAAAGAGTAGGAGATCCTCATTTCTCTCTACTGCACAGTATTCCATGGTGTAAATGCACCATAGTTTTTTTGATCCACTCATTTACTGATGGGCACTTAGGTTGCTTCCAGCACTTGGCAAATGTAAATTGTGCTGCTATGAACATTGGGGTGCATGGGTTCTTTTGGATTGGTGTTTCAGGGTTCTCAGGATATAATCCCAGCAGTGGAATTGCTGAGTCAAAGGGCATTTTAATTTGTAGTTTTCTGAGGAAATTCCATATTGTTTTCCACAGTTGCTACACCAGTCTGCATTTCCACCAACAGTTCACTAGAGTTCCCTTTTCTCCACAACTTCCGGTAGTGCTTGTTTTTTGAATTGTTTTAGATGGCCATTCTCACTAGTATGAAGTAGGATCTCATTGTGGTTTTCACTTGCATCTCTTTGATGGCTAGTGATGCTGAGCATCTTTTCATATGTCTCTGGATCCCCTGTGTGTCCTCCTTAGAGAAGTGTCTGTTCAAGTCTTTTGCCCATTTATTTTATTTTTTTAAATATATTTTATTGATTATGCTATTACAATTGTCCCATTTTCCCCCTTCACTCCCCTCCACCCTGTACACCCTCTCCCACCCACATTCCCCCCCTTTAGTCATGTCCATGTGTCATACTTATAAGTTCTTTGGCTTCTATATTTCCCATACTATTCTTACCCTGCCCCTATTATTTTCGACCTACAATCTATGCTACTTATTCTCTGTACCTTTTCCCCCTCTCTCCTCCTCCCACTCCCCTGTTGCTAACCCTCCATGTGCTCTCCATTTCTGTGGTTCTGTTCCTGTTATAGTTGTTTGCTTAGTTTCTTTTGGTTTTGCTTTAGGTATGGTTGTTAATAATTGTGAGTTTGCTATCCTTTTACTATACATGTTCTTTTTTTATCTTCTTTTCTTAGATAAGTCCCTTTAACATTTCATAAAATAAGGGCTTGGTGATGATGAACTCCTTTAACTTGACCTTATCTGAGAAGCACTTTATCCGCCCTTCCATTCTAAATGAAAGCTTTGCTGGATAGAGTAATCTGGGATATAGGTCCTTGTCTTTCATGACTTGGAATACTTCTTTCCAGCCCCTTCTTGCCTGCAAGGTCTCTTTTGAGAAATCAGCTGACAATCTGATGGGAACTCCTTTGTAGGTGACTGTCCCCTTATCTCTTGCTGCTTCTAGGATTCTCTCCTTCATTTTTACCTTTGCTAATGTACTTATGATGTGCCTTGGTGTGTTTCTTCTTGGGCCCAACTTCTTTGGGACTCTCTGAGCTTCCTGGATTTCCTGGAAGTCTATTTCCTTTGCCAGAATGAGGAAGTTCTCCTTTACTATTTGTTCAAATATGTGTTCAATCTGTTGCTTTTCCTTTTCCCCTTCTGGTACCCCTATAATTCGGATGTTGGAACGTTTAAAGATGTTCTGGAGGTTCCTAAGCTTCTCCTGGTTTTTTTGAATTCTTATTTCTTCATTCTTTCCTGTTTGGTTGTTTTTTTTTTTCTTCCTTCTGGTCCACTCTATTGTTTTGAGTCCCAGTTTCCTTCCCATCACTATTGGTTCTCCGTGCATCTTCCTTCATCTCTTTTATGGCAACCTGCATTTTTTCATCTAATTTGCGCCCAAAATCAACCAATTCTGTGAGCTTCCTGATCACCGGTGCTTTGAACTGTGCATCTGATAGATTGGCTATCTCTTGGTCGCTCAAAAGGATGAGTCCTGGGGTATTGATCTGTTTTTCTGTTTGAGACATGTCTCTCTCTCTCTCTTTTTTTTTTTGTCTGGTCGCTCCCCGTTACAGTGAGGGGCGGAGCCTTAGGTGTTCACCGGGGCTGAGCACCCCAGTCACTAGATTGTGACGTTGTATGTGGGGGTGGGGGCAGGGGCGAGGGTGGGTGTGGGAGGGAACAATGGCGGTAGCTCCGTTCTCCTGGGACCTCAGCCCCTTCATGGGACCCTGGTTTGAGTGCTCTGCCCTGGTCCACAATCGCTGCCTCACTGGGTCTGCCAGCTGCCGCTTGTGTACTCAGGGTCCACCCACTGCGATCTTGTGCACCCCAGATGCCTGACACACTCCTGGTTGCCTTATGCGCCTAGTTCT